CGTTATTGTAAAAAAAAAATGCTCATGTCTCAACTCCTATCGAAACAGATATCACACGAACCTCAACAAGAAGTGATGACTATCAATTGCGAGCATTTCCATGCTGTAAACAGTTCGCGGACGCTCCAGCAAAGATCGTCGCTTGAGGACTCGCACAGGGGTCTTCTGTACCACTTGTATAGGCGCTTGCTTGGCTGCTTCAGCTAGCGTCTCTTCTGTCAAGGACATGGTGCTGTAGCAGTAAGCTACATAGCGCTTGCGTTTATCTAAAATGAAAGAGCATAAAATGCGGGGAAAATCAGTAATCTCTGGAGCATGAGCAAAATCAAAATATTTAAACATACAAGACTCAAGAAAAAGCAAAATGTACTTGCTTACCTTCTTCACCCATACTAATGAGATCAGCCTCTTCTCTCGAGATCCTGACAAGATTCTTCACTTCAATGTCGGGATTCAACCGATTGATTTCTGTTTGAACATCCTTCAACGTTTCAATGTATTTCGTTCTAAAATTGCCTTGAAATTGGAAGAAAAACTAAAGGCAACCGCTGATGTACCCAGACAGAGGTGCCGTAAAATGGCAGTTGCGCAGTTCAACAGTGAAGGGTCGGCCGTCACCCAACATACGCACATCCATGTCTTCTCTTCCAGAAGCAACAAAACGAGCGTCGGTAGCAGCAAATTTACTCCTCATAAGCTCACAGACTTTTTCGGAAACCTAGAAATTATAGATCCACGACCGAATGGCAGGAGACTACAATAAAATTATAGACAGTAAACTACAATGAATTATAGACATACCGAATTTCCAGGCACTTTCGGCGCTTCCTTGTCCTCGGAGGACCACGGTGATTGCGGTAATGTACGCGAGTATTTACAGTATCTCCCCGCTATAAACACGGGATCCCGTTCGAATGCGATGGAGTACGTACAAAAGCGGGAGGGCGAAGACAATTTGAATTTTCTAAAAAGAAAAAAATGGGACTTTGGGAACTGAGAAAAGGAAAGGAACCGCCGTTGTTCGTGTTTTCAATTAAATTGGTAAGCGGCTGCCAAAAAGAATGCAGACATTAACGAACGGACTCAAAAACTTCGTTGTAACTATAAGCTCAACAAAAGAAAGACAGTAGGAAAAATATAAGCAAAAGACAGAACAAGAAGAATTGATAAACCACACCTACTTGGCAATGTCCTCCCTAATGCGTGATAGCATCTGCTCCACCTTTATTTTCGTACATTGTGGTGTGTCACTTTGCTGATAGAATTTTCTCTTCCTTGATTGTTGAAAATCATTCGGAAAGTGTTCCAGAAGGAATGATGTATCATATTCGGTGAATTCATCAGTCTCAAAGGTGATAGTCAACTGTAGATCAGTAGCAAGCGCTGCTCGCATTCCGGATGCCTGAAAGGAAGTATGATGGAAATAAATGAATCAGAGTGTCTAATCAAAATAATAGAGTGATAAGACGAATAATGGGAAACAAAAATATAACAAAAACTGTACAATTCTACAACAAAAATTGATATTTTTTCAGTAAATTTTTTGCTTCAACTGTCCAAAGATTTTTTTGTTATAACTCAAACTCTGAACTAAATGAAGCAGAATATATCAATCTGGAACGTTATCCGTACGCGTACGATTAGCATTATCTGGAAAAAACAAACCTGTCGTAGCTTGGGTAAATAAGCGTCGATATTCCGGATTTTGTAGGGTACAGAAATAAGTATCCCATTGAAATCAGGTCTTGATCTCCTAACGATGGTTTCGCGAAGAACTTGCGATATAGGAAGATTCAATGCCAATGTGAACGCAGTGGCATCGTAGGGCGACTCCTTGAGCTTCTTTCCAACAGCTTGCGCTACCTAAAGTGCTATCATATAAAGAGACTTAGAAAGCAAGAAATGCTTCTTTAGCTCACTAAATTTGATAGCAATTCAACATTTTTACGAACACTAAAAGAAACTGTTTTCGAACATTCTAACAATAAGATCATAAAATTCAACAAAGACTTGCTCTGACCCTGTTTTTAACCTGCCAAGACTAAATGTGATTGAAGACGAAATATCACTAGGGTCCTGAAACGCTGAATCCAGATCTGCTTAACTTTGGCGGAACAACTCTTCGAAAGAAGCGTATGGATGTCCAAATTCGTCATGCTTTGAACTGCATAAAGCGAAAAGCTCCAAAAAACCTGTGCGGATTTACATTGGCTGTGTTCCTTC